TCCACACCTGAAAAGTGCTCGGTCCACCATCAATACGGACCACACCACCCTACACCTCCTGCAGCACGCCCACTTCTCATCTCAACGTCTTCTACTATGGGCTTGCTACCTGCAGAAATTCAACCTGGAGACACGCTATATCAAGGGTTCTGACAACACCATAGCCGATGCCCTCTCCAGAGTTTATGAAGTAGAAGCGACTCCATCCATTACTCCACCACATAACGACGTACTTCTTCCAGAACCGCAGGCTTCGGGGGAGAGTTGTGACGATAATCTCCTTCAAGAGATTGAGCCTGCTCTTCCCTTCATAATTACGTCGTCACAATTATATAAAAGACTATGGAAGAAATGTCAAACAACGACAACAACACCAGCACCAGCAAGGCTTGCCAGGGTGAGCAGAAACGTATGCATCCAGCCACCTGTTCGAACTCCAACCACCAAACTACCCGTTGATCGCTACGGCTCCGCTGATTGGTCGCCGGTCTGGCTGCACCTGCACTCGCCCCAATACTACCTGATGTCTGGGGTCGCCCCAACATCAGTCCTCAGAATGTTCCGTGCTTTCGTAGCCAGCACTCCTCCCAGCTAGACGTTAGCGTGTACTGAGAGAGGTGGTGGCTTTAAGCCAATATTCCAGCACCTCCCACTTAACTTTTGTGTTGCACTTCTTGTTATTTTGCCTTAACGTAACTTTTCATTGTGTCATTTAAGTATTCTTATTATTTTGATTGATTGATTTTATTATACATATTTGTTTGTGCATTATTTTCATGTTTTGATTTATTTAACGTAATTAAAATTTCATTGTTAAAGTTTACTTGTGTTTTGTGTGTCTTCTCCTTACCTTACCACAGACGAAGTTCCAGTTTTTCTATTTTTTTTATAACTATGTGACGAGGCCATACCCCTAGCCTTAAACAGCCGAACACCAACGCGTTACCGTCACAATATATATATATATATATATATATATATATATATATATATATATATATATAGAGATTCACAGATAAAGATTATATTTGTATATGTTATCAGAGAAGCAGAGATAAAATAGTTTTTGTGAATCCATCACAGTGATTATACCTTATTAGAGAGTAAAGATATTCATATTTTAAACAAGATTTCTATCGAATTCCATCCCTATCGAATGGAACTACGACCTTTCAAAGATCAATGTTAATTTAACCTAGATATTGTAATAAACGAAGTTTTCTATGTCATCATAAAGAGAGAAATATAAGCTGCATGTTAAGACTTTGGCGTAAATATAACTGAAGTGAAAGTGAAGATATATGCCTTTTTATAGTTACTTGATGGCCTATAGTTACAGTCTTAACATGCAGCTTATATTTCTGTCTTTATGATGACATAGAAAACTTTGTTTATTTCAATATCCAGATTAAATTGACATTGATCTTTGAATGGTCGTAGTTCTCTTCGATAGGGAGAGCGTCGGCTAAGAAACCTTGTTTAAAATATGAATATCTTTCCTCTCTAATAAGGTATAATCTCTGTGATTTACAAAACCTATTGTGAACAATTTATGAATACGTCTTTGAGGTCGACCGCTGGATGGATTGTACTGGTCTAAGGACGGGTTGAATTGTGAGTTGTATGTAAACCGTTTTTCCATTCATAAACAGGGGGTTTGGCGGGTACATGGAATGGACTTTGGCCTTTGTTTACGAGGATGGGCTGTTTATAGCAGCCCGTCCTCCAAACAGACCCAAAAGTGAGTCAATGTACCCGCCAAACCCCCTGTTTATGAATGAAAAGCGGTTTACACACGACTCACAATTGATTTTGTTCGAACACTTCCGGAACAAGTGCATCACTGACGAATTTTGTTCGAACCACAATGTTGTAAATGCTTCACCCATATACTACAAATACAAATAATCGCCAACAGAAGCTAATCACCTAACCTAACCTATGTCTATATATATGCACAATATGCTAATATATTAAAATATTAATTTATATTTAAGAAAATTCCCGTTTTGAATGAACAGCATGTAAAAAATTATGAATGTGTCTGTGGGGTCGACCGCTGGATGTAATGGACTTGAGTTGCAATGTACTTGAGTAGAGTACTTGAGTACTCTACAAGTACAAGTACTTGAGTAGAGTACTACTAAAGTAATGGACTTGAGTACAAAGATTCAAGCTCGTTGATCCAGCTGCCGAACCCCCTGTTTATGAATGAAAAGCAGTTTGATGAATGCGTCTGGAGAGGAAGGCCGCTGCTGTAAATAGCCTAGTGTGAGGATGGGTTGTTTACAGACATGTAATTCGAGCAGAGGACGTCGGTGAAGCACTGCTCGATAAATGTACATATGTCATCATTTGTGAGTCGTGTGTAAACCGTTTTTCATTCACCATAAACCAGCTGCAACCAGGGGGGGGTAGCAGTTGGCTTAAGCATTTGGCCTTTGTTGATGAGGACGGGCTGGGAGGTGTGGGCCGGGGCAGATGTGGGTCAGGACAAGTGCGAGCCTGGGCAGGTGTAAGTTGGAAGAGATGTGAGCCTAGGCAGAGGTGAACCTAGGCAAGCATGAGCCTGGACAGGTATGAGCTTAGGCAGGTGTGAGCCGAGAGAGGTATGAGTTTGGGCAGGTGTGGGCCGAGAAGGGTATGAGTTTGGGCAGGTGTGAGCCGAGAAAGGTATGAGTTTGGGCAGGTGTGGGCCGAGAAGGGTATGAGTTTGGGCAGGTGTGGGCCGAGAAGGGTATGAGTTTGGGCAGGTGTGAGCCGAGAAAGGTATGAGTTTGGGCAGGTGTGAGCCGAGACAGGTGTTGGCCTGGAAGGGTAAGGGTCGGGACAGATGTGAGCCTGAGCAGCAATCTAACCTGCTTTGAAAGGGAAAGTGCATACCAAGCAGTACTCAAGGCGGGACAGCACAAGTGTTTTGTATAGAAAGATCATTGTGGTGGAATTCCTGGATTTGAACGTTCCCATAATAGATCCTATACTTTTTCTGGCTGATGTTATATTTACTTTATCATGCTCACTATACGTTAGGTCGTCTATCATCATTATCCCCAGAGCCTTTACATGTTGTTTTCCTTCCATAAAGAGATCTGGTTATATCTTGTACCCTATATTTCGTTTAAGTTCTGTATTTTTAGCATACCTAAGTATCTGGATTTTTTTTCTGTTAAAACATCATATTATTTTCTGTTGCCCAATTGAAGATTTTAATGATATCAGTTTGTAGTTTCGTTTCAGAAGTAATTTTCGTGCTGATTTTTGTGTTGTCCGCATTGGATGACACAAAGCTGTCATTTATTTTTGTCTGTATCTGGTATCAACCTGTCCTAAGGGAGGAGGTAACCCACTTCGAAACCACTACAAAAACCCTAACAGTTACTCCATGGTTGGGTTAAGGTTACATTAGGTTTCATAATGTTTCGTTAGGTTAATAGGGCGTATTATTCTCAAACATATAAAATATGAAATTCAAAAACTATTGGAGTGTCGCCTATAATTGAATTTATAGAAAACCGAATTCTCCAGAGCCTTTCAAAGAAAACAAGTTAAGGATAGACTTTATATTTTAATCCAACAACTTATCACATGAGAATATTCTCTGCTTAGGACAAAGGTTCACTTGCCAGTTTACACGTAGACAATTAGTGGAACCATAATATGCTTTCAGATCATCACAAATATCCCAGTTAGCGTGAGAATGGGATTGGTGTCTTGTGGTAATCAAATACCTGTGCAAAGTCTGTGAATACAACATCTGCATTTAGTTTTCTTATAATGGTTCTGTGCTTTAATCATAGTGGTTGAGTAACTGTGAAAGGTAGGATCCTCCTGCTCTAAATCCATGTTGACCTGGATTATGAATTTCATTGTTTTCCATAAAACTGGATATTGATCACTCTTTCAAAATCTTTAATTATGTGATGTTAATGGGACAGGTCTATAGCCAACGCTTTGCTACCTCCCTTGTGTAGGGGAGCTATATCTCCTAATTTAAGTGCCTGTGGTATCTCACCATTGCCTAGGATTTTTCTCCGCGCAACGCTGAGCGCTTGTATTAACGGTACTTTGCATTTCTTTATAAATATGGAGTTCCAGGAGTTGCGACCCGGGAGTGAGTGCATGGGCATATGCACTCAAACCATATCATTCGAGGTTTGCTTAGCTCGTGTTAATATCAGTTATATTGTCCGAGTTTTGGGTATCGTTCATAAACAAAAAAAAGTTGTCTGGATCTTCCACTTTCACGTTGTTTATTGAGGTGCTAAACAGAGTCCTTATACAGAACTGTTCTTTTAGGATTTTGCTTGCTTCTTTATCTTCTGTGTATGACTCATTTGTTGGAGGTATAGGTCTATTACTGGTAAAGTTTTTTTTTATTTTAACTTTGCATATGGGAAAGAGAATATTCGATTTTTCTTACCTTTTGTGTGACTTTCTATTCTATTTGGATATGTCTTTAGTCTGGTAAAATCGCTTTAGCTTCTGTTCTATTTCTTCAATCCCCTTGTGTTTGTCGGGAGAGATATGGGCTTTGACGTGTGTGGGCCAGGACAGATGTGTAGGCTCTAGGCAGGCGTGGGTCGGGACAGATGTGGGCGTGGACAGGCGTGGGTCGGGGCAGATGTGAGCCTGGGCAGGTGTGGGTCGGGACAGATGTGGGCCTGGACAGACGTGGATCGGGACAGATGTGAGCCTAGGCAGGCGTGGGTCGGGACAGATGTGAGCCTGGGCAGGTGTGGGGTCGGGACAGATGTGAGCCTGGGCAGGTGTGGGGTCGGGACAGATGTGAGCCTAGGCAGGTGTGGGGTCGGGACAGATGTGAGCCTGGGCAGGTGTGGGGTCGGGACAGATGTGAGCCTAGGCAGGTGTGGGTCGGGACAGATGTGAGCCTAGGCAGGTGTGGGGTCGGGACAGATGTGAGCCTGGGCAGGTGTGGGGTCGGGACAGATGTGAGCCTGGGCAGGTGTGGGTCGGGACAGGTGTGGGCGGTGGTCACTCACCGTGGCCGGGGAGACACGTGTGGCGTGGGCTAGGTTGGCTTGGGCGTCAGCGTCGAGCGTAGGGGTACCTGCGCTTACCATGTAGGTGACGCCCTCATCCTGAAGGAGGGCGCAGGACGCCGACGGAGGCAGCAACGGCAGGCGGTGCGCAGCAGGAGTCAGGGTCGGGCCGTGGGTGAGAGGAAGTCACACAGTGCAGCGCAAGGCAGGCAGACAGGCAGGCAGGCAGGCAGGCAGACAGACAGCAGGCAAGAGAATCAGTCTGCTGTTATTTTACACTCCAACACAGATCAGAAAGCACTTTCACAAATACACAAACGATTTTATTGATAAGAAACACGCACGCACGCACGCACACACACACACACACACACACACACACACACACACACACACACACACACACACACACACACACGTTAAAACATTGTCATCAAAGTAGACTATTCACTTGCCAGCTGACATATGAGAAGTGCACAAAATCCACACACACACACACATTATTGTGCCGTTCCTGCTGGACAAACCCAGTACTAATGCAGCACACCTACACCACTCACGTCAAACTACTTACTTCCACCACCACCATCTGAAATCAAATTCTCAGAAGAGACGAAGGAGAATAGGAGTGAGGAGGAGGAGGATTAGCACCCGAGAAAGACACCCTTCATCACCATCACATAAGTGGCGGCAAGTCTCGTAGCGCCGCTCATTCTTACCTTAATTATTCACAAAGCTTGACAAAAATATCGATTGAGGGGTTGCCCGGGTAGTGGCCGCATCAACAACAGGCAGTTGCCGGGCAGCAGAAGGCGGAGTGAGGTTGGGGCGGGGCAGGGCAGCAAGGGGAGAGGGGGAAGAAGTCCTTGGTTGGGAAAGGCTTGTAAGGGTGAAGCGGGGCAGGGCAAGGTGGGACGGGAAGGGGGAAGGGTTTGATTGCGGAGAGTTTGGGCGGGGCGGGACAGGAAGGGGAAGGGAAAGGTTTCGCTGGGGAGAGTTTGGGCGGGGCGGGGCGGGGTGGGACAGGAAGGGGAAGGGAAAGGTTTCGCTGGGGAGAGTTTGGGCGGGGCGGGGCGGGGGTGATGCTACGCCGAGGACGTTGCCATAGCTACACCACCACCACCCGGCCTCACTACGCTCCTCCACCAATCACGTCGATACATTATCCCCCAATTGCAACTTGCTAAATACATTTCATCCCCGTGCAAGTGCATGAAGGCACGTCCCATTGTTTCCGTCCCCAGGGTGATCCCGCCCTGGCGACCCACTCTGCTAACTCGCGCTGCTTGTTTGCTAACTTAGTCTTGCTAAAGGTTAAATTGTTCCCTCAATATTCCCGAACTGCAGCCCCCCCCCCTTTCCCCGTGCCCCCCCCTCCACCAACCCTACAGAAAATGATTACGATCTATTTGTCAAACGTTTCACTATATTATTATATTTTGTACATTGACATAAAATTCGTGAATTGATTTTCTAAACCTTCCGTTATGTTGTTGTAAATCATTCCATTCATAAAGACATTTGAAGAAAGCAAACCTCATTAAGGCAGTCCTTTCTTAATGTCCCCTTAAAGTTGATCTTTCTAATTTTAACATTAAGGAATGATTAAGTTTATTAAAGAAGACATTTTTAATGTTTCCGTTAGGGCAATTCCTCTTGAAATTTTCTCATCGTTAATATAATTGCTAAACTGATAGCTATCTACATCACAATCTTAAAGACACTTTATTGGGCCAAAAAAAAAAATTATAAAAGGCACTATTTGGTAAACAGAAGGCTACTGTATAACCACAAACACTAAACAAAGGGTAATTCATATTTAATTTATATCTTGAATGCTGAGCCTCTTGTTGAGCGATTGTGGTTCAATTATTGAAATATTTGATCATACCCTATCTCTGTTGATTATAAATATTTTGTTTAAAGCTTGGAAGAAATTATATTTACAAAAAATTATGTATAACGAAATCAGTATGTATGAGAAAATCTTTTGGAACTATGCGGTGGACTTGAACACGCGTCTCGGGTCACCTCAGACGCGCGCTTCAATAAATATATTAATAACAGGTGCAAGGCGATTCTTGATCACTTTCTGCCATTACAATCAACAGGAGCAGAATCACTGCGCCGTGGACTATGCATTTGGACTGGTCGGTACGGCGACAGCCAATGCCTCCTGCAGCATTGGCATTCGATCCCCGAGGTTCAAGTGGTTGGGCACCCTTCCTCGTATATCCCAGCTATTATTCGTCCATATTCTTTTGAAGTAGGCAGAGGACGCGATGACTCGGCACACCGCGTGAAAAACCTGTCCTCTTAAAAAGAACGTCGCTTTTGGCTGTTTGCCCGTATGGCCGAATATGGACGTAATTTGAAAGTGAAAAAAATGAAAATAAATTTGGGATTTTTTTTGTCAACAACAGTAAGTTAAGGGTCCTCTGATAGGTTAGGTGGGCAGGAAATTCTCATGAAGTTTCAAAACGGTCTGAAAAACGTTAATGGAAAGTTTTCTTTTCTAAGCTTGCCGAGTAAGCCGGACGACTCAAACAGAAAACGGAACAGTACGTCACTTTTGTGAGTCGATTTCATTTCAAATTACGTCCAAATTTGGCCATAGCGCGCATATGAGCGAAAAGTGACGTTATTTTTAAGAGGACGGGTTGCTCACCACTCTCACTCTTGGCCAGTTTCGTTATCCCTCAAGGTTACCATATTGTTGCTTCAAGTTCTACTTTACATTGCCTTAAGTTCTACGTTACATCGCCTAATGACAACTATCTTAACTGAACTTACGGGTGCGCAGATAAACATGCGCGGACAGCATGCCGGAGACTCACGTTGACGCATATACGTGAACAAAACGCGTGTGGACTGACGTTTTAAACATTCAATATACTAACTACTACTACTGTTTTGCGTCGAGTTTAGCCATTCTGTGGAGCGTTCTGCCTGGCCCATCATTTCTTGTGGTTGTGCTGCCTGTTATCGCAGGGATAAACATCTACAACTGCCTTGATCATCCTTGTAAACATACCCGCGATGCCCATTAACATTCACCCGTCAACACCAGGCCGGGTAATTTTAGTGTTGTCTCAGTAATCATATTAACATAACATTCATAATTGCGTTAATTTCGGTACTCTGATACGTGCTGAAGTGACAAACATAAATACTGATATTTAACATTCAGACAATTGCCCTCCCCCCTCGTCATGATATTGTTGGTACAATTAAAATGTTTATATAAACTGAGAATCCAGGTAATTAACCAGCCAGCAGTGTTTAGACCATAGGTAATTAACCTACCACGTTAATTACAGCCAACCAAAATTAACAATTATGTGGTAATTAGTATATTAGCACTAATATAGTTAAATCACTCTAGTCCACAATAACTACCTGCCAGCCCACAATACCGACCGACCAGCCCACAATAACGACCTGCCAGCCCACAATAACGACCTGCCAGCCCACAATACCGACCTGCCAGCCCACAATACCGACCTGCCAGCCCACAATACCGACCTGCCAGCCCACAATACCGACCTGCCAGCCCACAATACCGACCTGCCAGCCCACAATAACGACCTGCCAGCCCACAATACCGACCTGCCAGCCCACAATACCGACCTGCCAGCCCACAATAACGACCTGCCAGCCCACAATAACGACCGACCAGCCCACAATAACGACCTGCCAGTCCACAATAACGACCAGCCAGCCCACAATAACGACCTACCAGCCCACAATAACGACCTGCCAGCCCACAATAACGACCTGCCAGCCCACAATACCGACCTGCCAGCCCACAATACCGACCTGCCAGACCACAATAACGACCTGCCAGCCCACAATACCGACCTGCCAGCCCACAATACCGACCTGCCAGCCCACAATAACGACCTGCCAGCCCACAATAATGACCTGCCAGCCCACAATAACGACCTGCCAGCCCACAATACCGACCTGCCAGCCCACAATACCGACCTGCCAGCCCACAATAACGACCTGCCAGCCCACAATAACGACCGACCAGCCCACAATAACGACCTGCCAGTCCACAATAACGACCAGCCAGCCCACAATAACGACCTACCAGCCCACAATAACGACCTGCCAGCCCACAATACCGATCTGCCAGCCCACAATAACGACCTGCCAGCCAACAATAACGACCTGCCAGTCCACGATAATGAGCTACCAGCCCACAATAACGACCTGCCAGCCCACAATAACGACCTACCAGCCCACAATAACGATCTACCAGCCCACAATAACAACCTGCCAGCCCACAATAACAACCTACCAGCCCACAATAACGACCAGCCAGCCCACAATAACGACCTACCAGCCCACAATAACGACCTGCCAGCCCACAATAACGACCTACCAGCCCACAATAATGACCTACCAGCCCACAATAACGACCTGCCAGCCCACAATAATGACCTACCAGCCCACAATAATGACCTACCAGCCCACAATAATGACCTACCAGTCCACAATAATGACCTACCAGCCCACAATAATGACCTACCAGTCCACAATAATGACCTACCAGTCCACAATAATGACCTACCAGCCCACAATAATGACCTACCAGTCCACAATAATGACCTACCAGCCCACAATAATGACCTACCAGTCCACAATAATGACCTACCAGCCCACAATAATGACCTACCAGTCCACAATAATGACCTACCAGCCCACAATAATGACCTACCAGCCCACAATAATGACCTACCAGTCCACAATAATGACCGACCAGCCCACAATAACGACCAGCCAGCCCACAATAACGACCTACCAGCCCACAATAATGACCTACCAGCCCCACAATAATGACCTACCAGCCCACAATAATGATCTACCAGCCCCACAATAATGACCTACCAGCCCACAATAATGACCTACCAGCCCACAATAACGACCTACCAGCCCACAATAATGACCTACCAGCCCCACAATAATGACCTACCAGCGCACAATAATGATCTACCAGCCCCACAATAATGACCTACCAGCCCACAATAATGACCTACCAGCCCACAATAATGACCTACCAGCCCACAATAATGACCTACCAGCCCCACAAT